ATCTATCTGTGCAATTTGAGTGGAAATCGGAAGAGAGTAGTTGCACCTTTGGAAACAAAAGTGAATGCAATTAAGAGGTTTTACAAGGGTGAATCAATAAAGAAGGTTGCTTCAGATTTAGGTGTCGAAGAAGTTACTGTTGGAGATTGGAAGCGTAAGCGGAATGAAATCGAACAGTGGGTCAACCGAAGTGCGAGTGGTGGTAGTGGATTGTCCAGGAAGACTATGAAGAAAGAGGGCCATGAATAAACTTCTGAGGCGTGGTTATTGTGGTTTTCACAAATGAGAGGATTAAGCAGTCCGATAAGTGGTACAATACTCCAAGTAAAAGCTATTGAATTCCAGAAGAAGTTTATATATGGAGGAGAAAACTTTTGTGCTAGTGAAGGACGGATTGACTTATGGAAGAAGAAATATGGCATCCGGCAATTGAATATTTGCGCAAAAAACTGTCTGCCGACTTAACTGAAATTGGAACATTTTATGTTTCATAAAAGATATAATCCTTAAAGATGGACTAATTTCAGATCAAATATTTAACTGTGATGAGACAGGCCATAACTTTAAAATGATTCCATCAAAAACACTAGCTGTTAAAAATAAGAGAATTGCACCAGGTTACAAAAAAAAAAGCAAAGAGAGAGTCACAGTCATGATTTGCAACAATGCTTCTGGTTCATTGAAATTAAAACCTCTTTTAAATAGAAAATCCAGAAATCCAAGGGCAATCAAAAATGTCCAAATAAATTGCTTGCCTACAAATTAGAACAACCAACGCAATGCATGGATAAACTGGAACACTTTTAAGGACTGTTTTATTAATGACTTCGTGTCAGTCGTTGATGCCTACTTAATAAACAAAAATCTGCCTCGGAAAGCATTGTTGTTGTTGGAACGCACAATCTCACCCATATGCGAGTGAATTGATTAGTGGTGACATACGAGCTGTGTTTCTTCCACCCAATGTGACATCTAAGTACTGCTTTACATTATTTAGGTACTGCTAACTAAGCTGGATGAAGGGTTGACATTAATTGAGGCATTGAAGAAGGTTAAAGATGTTTGCTATTGCATTGCATCTGCTTGGGACGACGTAAAAATGTCCATTATTCTGAAGTCGATGAAAAAATTATTTAAGATAGCCAACAAAACACAAGGCGCTCAAAATGAAACTGATGACTGTAAAGTTGATTCTATAGCCAACCTAGCCAATCAATTACCAGTAGAAGAAACAATGGGAAACCAAGACATCATCAATTGGATGAGTGTAGATGAAGAAACAGATGATGTAATTGCCAATCTAGTTCTAAACGTCACTCATGGAAAAGAAGAAGCTACAGATGAGATAAGTCAAAATATTTCTTATTCCGATAGATTGAAGTCACTTGAAGCAGCTCTCGCATACATCGAGCAACAAGAAGAATCAACACCATTAGATGTCCTTCATTTTCAACGTTGGCAACATCGCTGCTTCAAAAAGAGGAATGCAGTTGAAACCAAAATCAATCAAAAACTTTTTTAAACATTAACATGTATAAAATATAATTTTTGTATCTTTTATACTACTTTTATATTAGTTTTTAGTTATTAAAATAAACACATTAATCAATATTTACGTAGATACACATTTTTCTATCAGTATAACCAATTTCAGTGTTAACCGAGTTTTTTCGGAATCCGAGGTAGCCTCTGTCCCAATTACCTCGGATAATCGCAAGTCTACTATAATGACATGTATATTCTGACGAAATTTTAATATCGTTTATGCTATAGTGCACCGCCCATGTTCTTAATGCCGTTTGTACGTTGACAGGTGATCAGTTGTTGTTAGATTTGCATGATGGACCTAATTTATTTATTGCCAAACAAAAAGACGCATTGCATTGTAATGCCACATCCGCAAGACTTATGCCCTAACGGTACGCTAGATTTACATAAGTAACTATAGAAGAATATTATTTAAACGCTTAAACGCTTTATACGAAATTAAAAAAAAAAAAAAAAAAAAAGATTTTTTTCCTTGTGGATTTTATACGAAATTATCTGAATATAATACAATGCATATGTAACAAAATGTTCAGGAAGTTGTTAAATATATTGTGGTATAATGGATGAGAACGTATATATTTTAATTGGAGCATATAAACGATATGTTGTCAAATACAATATAGAGATACATAGCTTATAAATAGCACAGGTTATTAGGGAGATATAATTGAAAATAGTATCTCAAGAAATTATTGAAGCTAAAGCTGATAAAGAACAAACAATAACTAAAAATGTAAAAAAAATGTGCATTTCCTTCTTTCTCTGTGTCGTTTATTTTTGGATAAATTTCAAGTTTTAATTCCATATTTCACTCACTCACAACACGATTCAAATTTAGCCATGGCCTTTTTCCACTCATATCATAATGAATATATCGGAAATCTAAATGACCTATTTTACGAATGTCTTAGTAATATTGATCAAACTAGGATCATGTATTAAGACTTAGCCAACCTCAATAGTAATCAACCTATTAGCATTAGCAAAATTTTTTTCAGATAAATCAATATATTAATTGATATTTTGATTACATTTAGAATTAGAATTAGTAGAAAAGCTTTTAAAACAAAGTTCTGTCGCAAAAAGTCTGTTAATATTGTCTAATAATACCATATTTCTCTCTACGTGCACTTCTTCTTCTTTCAGTACCCTTTCCGATTATCGAACGTTGGCGATCATATTGGCAATAGTAACTTTATTTACGGCGGCTCTAAATAAATTAGGGGTGGTCTCTTGATACCATTCTCCGAGATTTCGGAGCCAGGATGTTCTTCGTCGGCCTGGACCTCTTCTTCCGGTGATCTTACCCTATATTATTGAGGTGTAGAAGGTTATACCTCTCTAGAATATTGTAACTTTCGAATGTTTATCTTTTTTGTTATTTCAGTGCTCTTTTTGATTCGATGTAAAACTATTTCATTTCTTATTCCATCAACCCAACTTATCAGTAATACTCGTCGATAAATCCACATCTCAAAGGCCTCTAATTTTTTCATTAATGTCTCTGTAAGGGTCCAGTTCTCCATACCATATAGAACTGTGGAGAATATCTAGCAGCGTATTAATCTGATTTTAATGGTTTAACGTAATATCTCTATTAATCAGAATTGTCTTTAATTTATATAAGGCGGTTCTGGCTTTTTCAATGCGTATTCTTATTTCTTTATTTATATCCCAGTTATCGTTAGCGTTTGCACCCAAGTAGGTAATATTGTGAACTCTATTCCATACGCTCTGATGTTCGTTGGTTGTAACTCGGTTTTGCTGACAACCATAAATTTTGTCTTAGAAGTATTAAGTTTCAGCCCATATTCATCATATGCTTTGGTTACCCTGTTTATTAGTCATTGCAGGTCTTCTTCATTGGAGGCAATAAGTACCGTGTCGTCTGCATATCTGAGATGGTTGACATTAATTCCATTGATTTTAATGCCTGTATCTTCAACTAAGACTTATTTGAAAATAAATTCGGAGTAGATATTAAAAATTACAGGCGATAGAATATATCCTTGCCTCACTCCACGTCGTATTTCCACTGCTTCCATCGTATTGTGTCCAGCTCGTATGTTTCCACATTGATGCCAATACAAATTTTTAATAATACAGAGGTCTCGGTCATCAATTCCCACCTGTTGCAAGACACCTATCAGTTTGTCTTGGTTTACTCGGTCAAAGGCCTTTTCGAAGTCAATAAAACACATATATACTGGTTGTTCTATATCCCTACATCTTTGAACCATGACATGCAAACTGAAGAGTGCTCTACATGCACAAACATATATAATATACAATTTAAAACTTCAGAACTGATGAGAGTCATGATAATGAAAAGTTTGGTTGATTTTTACTTTAGGGTAGATATATCCTGACAGTTGCTGGTCATGATAGCAAACAGTCTTGAAATCTCTGTAACATCCCCATGCTTACAAATTAAAGTACAAAGTTTTATAAAGAGTTGTACTCCCAAAACTATCGTGCATATATTTAAGCTATTGATGCTCTTTTTAACTAAACATTGTGATGTATATTAATATAACTGGTCTACTTTTAGATCAGCGTTACTCAGATTGTGTCCCGCAAATCATCCGATAGAACACCACCGGCAGCCAAAATAAAATGAATACTAAAAATTATATGTATAAAACTAAAAATTATAAAAACGTAAAAACGTAGTAACCTAAGATAAAAATAAACTACCAAAATGAAAGCCTACTTATTGTTAAACGGAAATATGTAAGACTATTTATAAATTTAATATATTGTAAACCAAAAGATCAGTTTTAGATGGAAATATTACACATACCCTACCATTTGCTCCCGAAGTACAAGCAAACAAATGACCTCGGTTTGTCGCGCCGCTTCTCGTTGACGCCTAGTTCGGAGAAAATGGTGTGACTGCGCGAAATTTCTGGTAAATTCGAGATGATTCGATGATTGTATAATATAAAAGAAGGACTTTTTGGCGCATAGAATTAATTAATAAAGCATACCGCAAAATTTACTCACATGTAAACGATGACGAATCATACATTCATCTCGGATTTGTTGATACCAACGGTTCATCTCTCTGTATATTGTGCAGCAAACTTTTCCTAGTAGTTTGATGGGATCTACTAAGATGCGTCGACATTTAGAAGCAAGGAGGCGTTGTATTTGGTTAGTAGCTACATTGTTTAAGCAGGAGAAGCGCACACTATCAGTGAAAAGTTAACAAATCCATAATATGTGGTAGACATAACACAATGTATGCTCGACGAGAAGTCTGCAAATCATCTGCAGTGGCGCTTTCGATATATTTTCACACCGTAATGAGGATCTCACAGGATGGATAAATTAAGAAAAAAGAAGTTTTCAACCCTTTCTTTTGAATTCCAACTTTTAAATGGTTCAACACGTATAAATCAATAAAAAATTTCTTCCATTTTTGAGGAAATTAATTATACGAGTATTGTTAGTATTATATGATTTAAATTAAACAAACTACAAAGAACTTTATTTATTAATCAATACAAATATCTGTTAAGCATCCGGTTTGAATAACTTGTTTATACCATTCGCCTGACTTTTTTGGAGTCCTGGTTCTATTAAGATTGTTAAAGTCTACATGGTATATTCCATATTTTGCGCTGAAATGAAAATAAAAATAATTTTGAATGTTTTATTTTTATAACTTGATAACATTTGGTGGGACATTTTCTCTTGTGGTTTTAATTAATAATTATTTATACACATGGTGTACAACAATACACCTTTCACAAAAGCAACATGCATATCCTAAAGTAAATTTTATAGCTGGTTTACCATAGGGTAATGTGTTTGGTCAAACCCTTTATGGCTATACTAACATCTTACCCCACAACACTAGAATAGTAACATTTGCCGAAGACATAATTCAATGCACGTGGTGGTCGTGTGTATTAAGGTATAAAAAAATGCTTATTAAAAGCTTAAAATTTTTATTTTAAAGAAGATCTTTTCGGAATTGACTCATTCCATCATCAGTTTACTAAAAGAGAGAGTAAAAACACCAATATTAAAAAACAAGTAAGTTAAAATTTAAATATATAAAAAGAACACGTTGGTTTTTTACTACTTACATAAAAAGTTGTCAAAAAAACATTGTATGGCCACATGAAAACATAGGAAGGAACTCCGTATTAAAAAACTATCCTCAAGGTGTTTATGAAGGTAAATGCAATAGACTGTTAATTTGTAGATTACTAAAAACTGAAAATGGGAGCATCTTACATGAATTCCTGTAGTTGGTGAGGTTTTATTGACTTACATTACCTCTGATCTGTGCTGGAGTCTAGGGGTAACTGATAGAAAGATGGTATGAAAAATCGGTTAGTACCCGTCAATGTCAAGTAGAATGATGTAGTAGGAGGAAAAGTCATTGTGTTTAAGTTTGTGAATAGGCCGTTTTTAGTGAAGACTTGTGTTTAGCGTATAGTAGAATCAATAGCAATTTTTGGTATTTTAAAAAGGTGGAAGAATGTAAAACAATGAGTGACTGTGATGTAAAATAAATTTGGTATACCAGGGTAAGGCAAAATTTTAAGTTAGGTAGTTGAAATTAATAAATAATTTTACAGGCGATAAAAAGAATGTTGTTACCTAATTGTTTCCTTGTATAAAGTAAGTATTGGATATTGGAAAAGGGGGATGGGGGACTCCAGCACAGATCAGAGGTAATGTAAGTCAATAACACCTCACCAACTACAGGGGGTCATATAAGATGCCCCCATTTTCAGTTTTTAGTAATCTACAAATTAACAGTCTATTGCATTTACCTTCATAAACACCATGAGGATTGTTTTTTAATACGGAGTTCCTTCCTATGTTTTCAAGTGGCCATACAATGTTTTTTTGAAACTTTTTATGTGAGTAGTAAAAAACCAACGTGTTCTGTTTGTATATTTAAATTTTAACTTACTTGTTTTTTAATATTGGTATTTTTACTCTCTCTTTTAGTAAACTGATGATGGAATGAGTCAATTCCGAAAAGATCTTCTTTAAAATAAAAATTTTAAGCTTTTAATAAGCATTGTTTTATACCTTAATACACACGCCCACCACGTGCTTTGTATTCAACAGGTATACTAGCCACTCCTGGATATCTCCACTTCATGGTTTGTTCCAGTTTCACTTTGAAGACATAATTCTCTTCCCAATTATACTAATAATACGTTAACTCTGTTCAAGGCTGCAGTTTATTATCAGTAGGTCTTTCTTACACGATTTGTTCCACAGCACTTCTTTAATGGTGATCCTCTTTTCTTCCCTTCACCTGGCACCTTTCTCTACTTCCATCTTACACTCTTGTCACGTGGTTCAACCATCTTAGCATTTTTGATCCAAGGATCCGGCTAATTTCCGGGTTCTCGTGCATTTTACTGATTTCTGCAGCATTTTTTGCCCCCTCCAAATGTTTTGCCCATCTTTAGCTCTCTCAAAAACTTTCCTTAAAACGCTAATCTCTCAGATATTAAGTATGTATATTATCTTGATTTTTATTCATAAGTCAGATCTCATAGCCATAAAGGTCTATGGGTTGTATCACTGTTCGGTATATTCTCAATTTTGTCTCTGAGGTACATTTTGCTTTCAATAGTTTGTGTACCCTTCTATAACAGTTTTTTTTTCTTTTACAATCCTCTTCTTGACTTTATTCTTCAGGGTAACCCCTATGTATACAACTTCCTCTGCTTCTTGAAGCTGTACTTTATAATTTGTTTTCTGCTTATTAATATATATATATACCAGGTATTTAGGTGGCACACGCCACACGCCCTTCCGGTAGGGATCTGTGGAGGAGTATCACCGAGCCGCAAGCCCTTGTCTCTTGCCGTACTGCTCCACCATAGGCCGATCAGACACCAGCATATTCTAGTCTAAGCCGCAGATTTATTTTAGAATTTTAAACTGCTGCGTTAGCCTTTTGTTTTCTGTACACCAAGCTGGGGATCGAACACTTCCTTTGAATCACTAGCACTGAAGCGAGTGAGAAACGGGCCGCCCAGCCCGCTTGGCTATCTGACCGACGACTTATTAATAACTAGACCCTATTCTTTTGCATTTTCTTCAAATAATTTAAGTATTCTCAGTAATTCTCTTTTTGTTCGTGTTATTAATACTAAAGCAGCAGCTTGGATCAATCCTTTCGAACGTATTCCGCCTTCTCTCGTTAATGCCTTTAGAACGATACTGAAAACTACTGTTGACAGTGAGTTCACTTCCTGTAATCTTTTTTTGGCTTTAAAATTTCCTCCTATTCTTACTCTATTGTCAGTTTTCAGTAGTGTCACTTTTACTATCCTAAGTATTTCTTCTTGAATTTCAAATGCTCTTATGGCCCGGTAAACATATTATAAAAAAATAATAAAATTGGACAATAATCTCATAAATAAATAATCAATTTACTTATACAACTAGCTTACTTTACAATAATCCATAGACTTACGTGTATCCTCTTGTCCATTCAAAATTGTCCATTACACTCCATAACGTATATCCCAACAGGTTAACTTCATCCATAACATCTCTGAATCGGCTCAAACAATTCTACGGTAAGATAATAAAATATTTTTATGATAATATCAATAGCCCAAATACTGTCAATATATTGACCCATTAAAAAATAGTAACCGTGAAAGCAGTGGAATCACATAGATACAAACGTCAGTAGTAGCCTAGCCACCATACTGAATTATGATATGAGATTGTGAATACAATGTTTTAGTTGGGTTTATATTTTAACAAACATTTTTGGAAAAATTAAGTAAAAATAGTATTTAAGACATTATTTATTAATTTTAAATGAACTTGTTTATGAATTTTATCATACTACTAACAAATAACTCCTACATATGTTACGAAAGAAACGAAAAGAGCTTAAAAAAGTTTCACTCAAAACAACCCACTCAAAATAGATCTAAAGAAACTAACCACTTAAAACAAAGAAGGTATTCCAAAGCCTGCTTTAATTACGTTTTTTTTTTTTTTTTGTTTTCGATGACTTATTTTAATACATACTTTCACCATACTAATCCTGTCATCATCTTCCAACGTTTCTGTTTGAGTCATCAGTCCGTTTTCAGTAATGATCATATCAGGATTGTTATATCGGTCTTTAATCCATAGTAGTAGTTTACCCATTCCAAAAGAACCATCCTGAAAATAAAAAAAGCGTAGGTTTATTTAAAGAGTAAATACATCAGAAACCATTGAATTGGTAGCAACGCATGAAAGTAATAATCAATGAGAGTGACAATCTGCTGCTTAAAAAGCATAAAATGTTCAGTAAAAGAAGATAAACCTATGGAAATATGATCAGATGTTCTTTACTTATGACTTAGTAGAGCACAAGACAAATATACTTACCCCAATCCCTTCCATGGTACCACCAACTCCAGAATCCGCATCTAAGGATGGGGGTAGAATAATGGCAGGCTCTGGAATGGCAAACCCAAAGTAAGAGTCATACGAGTTTACCGCAAAATAGTCTGAGGTGTTTTTCAGTCGTTCCTTTTGTTCTTTGGTGAATTCTGGAAGACGTGACTCGATGAAACCTTCTAGTTTGCTTCGTTTCGCTATACGAGTCTTCATGATTTCTGGATAGTCACCGAAGTATATTGGATCAGCCATCCAACCCAACTAAATAACCAGATCAGTTACTATATATCTTGAGCTATTTTATATTACCAGATGAATCATACAGATGTAAATACATACTTACATTGAACTGCATTTTCTGATCTGCTGCTTCAATGTCTTCCGAGCTATTTGTTTTAGGTTGACAATAACTTATACTATGAACTATAGTTACTTTACCTAAAACATAAAGGTTAGGAGAGGGCCTGTATAAATCTCACGTTTATACTAATGCTCACCATTGTAATTATTCCTAAATTCTTTATCATAAACATGGTAGGCTGCAGCGTGAGCATTAAGTAGGTTATGAATACATCGATACTCTCCAATTCCTGGATTATAAATTCCTGGAGCAGATTTTCCATTACCATATCCATTGTTACAAATAGATGAAGGTTCATTGAACGTTACCCAATATTTAACATCCTCACCAAAAGCTTGGAAGCAAATTCTGTAACACAATTTAAAAAATGTGTTGCCATTACTCTAAATTAAACTTCATTAATTTTAGAAGTTTTCTAGTAAAAAATTAACAAAAAACAGTTTAGAAAATGTACAATATCTTGCTATTAACTATATTTTTTAAATCTGGGTTAAGTCCTACAAGATTATGTTCTTAGTACTTACCTGGCATATTCTGCGAACCAAACTTTAAGCGAATTACTAAAGAATCCTCCTAAATCTTCTAAAAATTGAGGCAAATCCCAGTGATAGAGTGTTACTAGAGGTTCTATATTATTATTCTTTAGTTCTCTTATAAGATTTTTGTAATAGTCGATTCCCTTCTGGTTAACTTCGTCGCGAAAACCTTCAAAATGATAAAATACTTAACATCTGCCATTTAACTTAAATAAATGGAAAAATTCTAAAACAGAAGAATAAAAGCACCTGTTGTAAAGTCACAAATGGATAAAATGCAAAACCTGCTAGATTCTATTAATAGATAAGCAATACGAGAATAAAATTCTTTAGAATGCTATAACAAAATGTAACTCAATCAAATGCAAATCTTGGGTATGTTTAATCATGATCTATTTATCAACGATATATCTGTATTGGCTTGTCTTCATTTAAAAGACCATAAAATTATCTAGACAGGTTGATTAGGTGGTGCAATAAATGGAGAGTGACCATAAACTCCTCCAAAACACAACTAATTCAACACATTCACGACATTCAAGAAACCCTTGACAGGGTGAGAAAGAGGTTTAGAGTACTCGCAGTGCTATCCGGTAAATTGGGCAGGACGTCATCTAAAACACTATTGCACATCTATAAAACATTCATTAGACCTATTATCAAATGCAAGGCATGCATCTACGCCTCCCTTAGACCCTACAAAATCAATGCTATCATGTCTACTGAAAGCAAAATCGTCAGATCCTGCATCAGGAAGAGCAGTCACTATCAGCACACATATACATATTGGCAAACATAACATCTATTAAGGACAGAATCCTATCCCTCAGCAGGAGGTATGTCTGTCGAACCATCACAGGCTCGAATAATCGAGCAAAATAAGTATTAAAAACACTTCCAGCTAAACTTCTACACAACACTAGACACCTATTAAAGTCCCCATTAAATATCGCAGCTAACAATTGCACGCCAAAAATGCTGATTAAGAGCCGTTCCTATTGTAATCCCTGAAGTACCTCCTTCGACATGTTTGGCATCGCTCACCTAAATTCCTCTTGTGCGCTTCTTAACACATTGTCTACACAAACACGCTACCTTCTGAACCCCAGCTCCTTAGTAGTTCACTACTTCTCCACATATAACATTAATCATCACGTTTTGTCACATCACCAATACTCTGCAAAGAAAGGAGTACCCCTTCCTTCAAACAGAAATGTGAAGACACAATGGGAAATAAACAATTTGTTTTCAGAGAAGGATTGGGAACAAGGGAAGCTTTATTCGCAATGCTACCACTACTTCAACGATCATGAAGAGTACAGAAACCAATTTACGTCTGAGGTCTAACAAGAGGTGTTATACAGGGTTGTGTGTTGTCCCCAACTTTGTTTAACGTTTACTCAGAAATAATTTTTAATGAAGCCTTGGAAGGGCAATGTGGAGTTCGAATCTGGCTGAAAGTATCGAAGATCTTCAATTCTTTATAGACCTAGGATATACCTAGGATGTTGGATAAACGAGACACTAAATCCGGATGAAGAAATTAAAACTCGTATAGAAATTGCAAGAAGAGCATTTATGAAACTTAGATCTATTCTGAGCAATTCTCAGCTGAACTTACAGCTGAGAATTAAGTTCCTAAAATGTTATGTGTATCCTGTATTACTGTATGGATGTGAAACCTGGATTATGAAGGTTAACATGATGAACAATTTAGAAGTCTTCGAGATGTGGTTATATCGTAGAATGCTCAGAATATCATGGGTTCAACACATTTCAAAAAGAGAAGTCTTGAACAGAGTAGGTCAAGGTAAAGGTGACTTAATAAAAATGATAAAAAAGAGAAAACTCGAATATCTGGGGCATATAATGAGAGGAAGCAGATACACGATAATGTAGTTGATACTTAACGGAAAGATCGACAGAAAAGGAGGAATTGGTAGGAAGAAATACTGATGGTTCCGAAACCTTCGTCAATGGACTGGCTTCTCAGCAGTTGAATTATTACATGCCGCGCAAGATCGAGAACGATATCGGCAAATTGTCATGGAAGCTACCCACGCCTAAAACTTGGGCATGGTACTCAAAGAAGAAGACGCCTTGCTTCTTCCCTTACCTTGCGTTGAAGAAGCTTCCTTGAAAAGGCGTAAAGCCCAAACAGGGTTAAAACTCTAGTTTCTTCGATATATTTGCCGATGGTTTTTCCTTCAATTTGAACTCCGAAATACACCCAATGAAACACGTTTAGAAAATATATAAAGCAGAGACAAATTAGTTTTTGCACTTCATAATAAACATTGCTTTGGAGTTATGTAACTCCAATATCCTCAAAGAAACATTCCATAATTTTCGGTGTGTAATAAAGCTGATAGGTCAGGGCAGACGAAGAAGGGAGCCTTGGTCCTTCGATGAAAAGGGGGTTGAGCAAAGGGTTAACAACCCTTCCTTGTAGAACTCAATTGTTGCGAATACAATGGCTAATGAAACAAACGGACGGATCTCACAACGACGAACTCAGCACAGAAAAATGAACATGCTTATGGATTTAAAATTTTGAACCTGGAACGTGCGAACCTTCTTAAAGGCAGGAGCTATGATAAGTATGGCAGAAGAACTTGAAAAATATGGAGTTGAAATATTGGCACTGCAGGAAATCAAATGGAAGAGCCAGGAAGAAATTCATAAGAATAAATTCTCACTATACTACTACGGAAATGAAATGAGACAAGGTGAAAGAGGTATGGTATGGTAACCAAAAAACTGCGAAAAGACATTATCGCATTTACACCAATATCAGATAGAATTTGCACCATAACATTTAAAGGTAAATTTCATAACGTGACAATGGATAATGTATATGCACCAACGGAAGAGACTGATGAAGAAGACGTTGAAAGATTCTACGGAGAACTACAGGATGTATGTGATAAAATCCAAAGACACGATTATGTTATAACGTTAGGCGATTTTAATGCTAAACTGGGGAAAGAAGAAACGTTTGCAAATATATTTTTGAAACACAGTTTGCACACTGAAACCAGTCAAAATAGACTCAGGGTGGCACAGTTCGCAGCAGCCAATAATTACGTAGTTGTCAGTACTAACTTCCAGAGAAAAGATATCCATAAAGGAACATGGAAATTACCGGGAACTAACGAAGCCAATCAAATTGACCATATACTCATCTCAAAAAGATGGGCAACAGACATAACTAATGTCAGAACCTATCGCGGGGTGAACTCTGACTTAGATCACTATCTTGTAGGGGCAAAATTACGTCAGAAAATAGCGACAGTAGCAAAAGGGAAAAATATTCAAATCAAAAAATGGAATGTCGAAGGATTCAAAAGCGCAACAAAGAGACAAGATTACATAAATACTCTCCAATTAAAACTCAACCGACTTAGAGAGGAATATACCGCAGAGGAGGAATGGAGACAACTAAAAACAATTATAACGGAGTCAGCAGAGGAAACTGTCGGAAAAGCCAAAAGGCAAAGAAATGCGGAATGGTATGATGAATGCAGAACTGCAGTAGAGGAAAAAAGGCAAGCTAGGCTTAACCAACTTCAAAGAAATACAAGAAATAGCAGTGAGATTTATAACGAAAAAAGAATACAAGCGACTAGAATATGCAGAAGAAAGAAAAGAGAGGCTATGAAAAAACAAGTACAAGAAATCGTAAAGCATAACAACAGACGCGAAAGCAGAAAATTCTATAAATGCATAAAAGAAAGCACACAGTCATTTAGACCAAAACTAACGATGTGCAAAGACGAGGACGGAGAACTACTAACAGAGAAGCAAAAAATTATAATGAGATGGAAACAATATTTCGAAGAAAATCTAAATGCAGACAACGAAAATGATCAGAACGAGACAATATATTATACGGCGGAGCTGCACATCGAAAATCCGAGTTATGAAGAAGTAGTTCAGATAATAAATAAACTAAAAAATAATAAAGCACCAGGAACCGACGGGATTTCAGCAGACTTATTAAAGCATGGAGGATCCGAACTCTGGGACAGAATCCATTACCTAATAACATTAATATGGACGAAGGAGCAAATGCCAGAGGAATAGACAGTTGGCCTCATACGGCCAATATATAAAAAAGGAGATAAGAGGGAATGCCAGAATTATAGGCCAATTACATTGCTAAATGTAATATACAAAATTCTTTCTGGTATATTCTACAATAGAGTATTAGAATAGATTAGACCCGTAGTAACCTATGGATGTGAAACTTGGGTAATGACGAAAAAAGAGAAAGCCCAACTCAGGACATTCGAGAGAAAGATACTGAGGAAAGTCTATGGCCCGGTACAAGAGGAAGATGGCACATGGAGAATCAGGAGAAACGACGAGGTTAATGAGTTAAATGAAGGTTATGACATTGTAAGATTTGTGAAAAGTCATAGAATGTCATGGCTGGGACATGTGCAGAGACAAAACGATGCAAAAACAACAAAGAAAATGTTAAAATGGAAACCCATAGGAAGGCGAAAAAAAGGAAGGCCCAGAACGAGATGGTTGGATGACGTGAAAGACGACCTGAAAACAATGAACATAAGACAATGGAGAAGAAGGGCACAAGAGAGATCTGAATGGAAGGACATAGCCAGACAGGCAAAGACCCATCCAGGGTTATGATGCCAAAAGAAGAATAAAGCTGATAGACCTCAGACATACATAATATAAATGAGTGTTCAGTATGCATCTAGGTAACTGAATTCCATAAACCAGCATGCGGCTTGACTAGCATCTTGCAGCAATTTTTTAGTATAGTTAATGGTTGCATAAGGCATATAGGAAAATATAAGAAATTATAGCATAACAAGCTGAAGCACGAGGAAGTATAGGAGGACCCAAAAAAATAAAAGATGTCAGAGACATTTTTGGACTTACCGTTAGGTAAAATTCTTGTCCAACTAATCGAGAATCTGTAGTGGCTTACACCAAGGTCTTTTAATAAAGCCACATCTTCTTTAATTTTATGGTAGGAGTCACAAGCGATATCTCCGTTATTTTTATCTCGTATAACCGAAGAATTTTTGTGCGTAAAGTAGTCCCAGATGTTTACACCTTTACCATCTTCATTCCAACCACCTAAAATAGATTATTTATTATATTGTATATTATAATATAAAGTATGATATTTTTAGAAGATATTTTTGTAAAATTGTATATTTGTCCTCTTCCTCTGCACTTCAAGGACTAGGCTTTCAGCCTATTCCGCATCTTTTTCTGGGCAAATTTATTTCCAGATAGTCCAAATTTATAGGAAATGTACTTTGAAACTCATCTTCTTTTTCTTCTTGTAGTGCATTGGTCGTTATATATATATATATATAATATATATATATATATATATATATATATATATATATATATATATATATATATAGGACTGAGATTGTTTGGACCTATTATCATCAAAGACCTCTTGTATGTATTTGGTCCATATGCATTTTTCTTAATTTTTATCTGTGATGATGTTCCCCTCTTGATCTTACAGTTTGCTAGCTGTGATGGTTTTTAAAGAACAGCTGCTTGTTTTACCTTTTCATGCATATTAAATGTATCGTGTTGTTATTCCAACAGATCTATCTATTCATACTGTGCTTTTAACTAATTTTCTTTGGCCTTTTGCAGTTCGGTTTTTATTTGTCTTTGAATATTTTTGTACATTTTTTGATTATTCTTTGATTTTTTTCTTTCTTACATGAGTTTTAGTATGTTGTCATTCATCCAACTTTCCCTCTTCTCTATTTCTTTATTTTCAATTAGATATTCTTTTATGATCTTATTAAAGGTTTCACGTTATATTCTGGAGTGATTTTTCTGGATTATATGTTTTCTCCATGTTACTTAGCTTTTCTAAAAGAATCCATGCGTCTGTCTCTTTTGTTTCCTTATCTTTAAGTTTTCTCATATCACCTTTTTGTTACTACTTTTTTTTGTAACCTTTTTAAATCTTATCGTAAATTTACCATTTAACCACCGGGTTAACTTTAAACTGATAGGCATCCATTACGGAATCTCTTGTTCACCATTATGTAATCAATCTGATTCCTTATTATGTTTCGTGGTTGATCTTGTGAAGAGACCCAAGTATAAAAACGTTTTGATGGTAGTTTGAAGAACGCATTTAGTATCGCAAATTCCTCTTCCTCTACAAATAGTTATAATCTTTCTCCCATTTCCCCACCAAAATCACCAACTAATTCACCGCTTTCTCCTTCACCAATTTTCGCATTCAAGTCACCCGTAATAATAGTTATATCTTCTTTTTTAATTTGTCTAAGTGAATTTATCAACAACACATAAAAGTACTGTACCTCTTCTGGCTTATCGCTGGTTGGGGCATACACTTATAAAACATTTAATTTGACCGGAGTAGTATTCAGTTGGATTATTAATAATCTTTCAGAAATAGGTATAACATTTGTAACATATTGGCGAAGTTGAGGAGATACGATTTCTCTAATACCATACATATGTTGACCGTTATCATTTCTTGAGTGATATACCATATGGTTGTTAACAATAGTACAAGCACTACTATTTAACCATTTCATTTCACGTATGCCTATCATACCTACTCTAAGTCTGGTCATTTTTTGAATGGTATTATGAAGTTTTCCAGCCTGATACATTGTCTTCACATTCCAGGTACATATTTGGATAATCAACTCTGATGTTTTTAGAGACACTTTTCTAGATCTGTCACAGGGGTTTCTCTGGATTACGACCTGGGAGGCCTTGTGATCCAAAGGTGGATCACCTCCCTTGTCGAATCTTGGCTTCTGTGTTCCATGATTAGTAGCCGTTTCCACTTTAGTTGTGTTTGCCATGGTATCTTTACTAGATATATCATCAGGGACCCTTAATGCAGCATTGACCACTTTCTTGGTTCTTCCGCCTTTGAGGCCGATTTCACAACCTCAGGACAAAAGGGTGCCCTACCACTTACCAACTCATCCGTCCGAAGCCGTTGGTCAGTAAATGGTGGATTACTTATCCTGGCTAAGTATCTTTATCTACTAAATGCATTTACTTCCTCTACTAATTAATACTACTTTCAAAATCATTAGTGTATTCAAGAATTTCTGTTGATGTATTAAAGGTGTATCTTTAGCTAATGTTTATTTGTCTGGCTGAATTTTTCTAGGTAATATCAAACATGTAACATGTTTTTTCATATAAGTTTTTATAACTTACCTTTTATAATCGAAAATTGTGGATTATTACTCCAAATGGGATTTCTCTAAAGTACTGGTGCTTTACAAAACTTGGCGTAACTTAAAAATTGTAAACTTTAAATTAACTTATATCAGTGTTCTATTGAAGCATTGAAGCTTTGAGGATGGCTTTGTAAGCCGAAACCGCTCAGCTAGGAAATAAATTTTTCCACGCTTCAAAAATGCTTTTCTTTTTCATTTTTTGATTTCTATAAGATTTAACTATAATTATGATTTATATTAATTACAAAAAGAATAGTATTTGTTACCAAAAACGTTCCAAATTTGAAACAGCACTATATAGTTACCCGATCTCACCTTCCACTTGGTATGCAGACGTTGCCACGCCAAACATAAAATCAGCAGGGAATCGTTTATTGTTAATTACATAATCTTCAGCCAAACTGAAAAATAAATCATGCAAAAATTAATTAACCAGAACCCATTGTTAGCTGTTTACGAGTTAAGGCTTGCTGTTTGAATCGATTGAATAGTTTTTCTTTCGGTATCTTCAAAGGACAGACCATTAATATGAAACTAGTATTAGGTATAGGAGAGTCATAAATTTTAATGCAAAATAATATACATACAAGACTTTGTTGTTACAGAAGTATAAGATTATGATTGGATACAGTACAAGGGATACTATATAAGTTTTCAGAAATGACAACGCTGCTGTTGTCATCTTATTCAAATGATGCAGATGCATGATTTTATTTGCAGCTCCTCTAGATCAGGGGTGTCCAACTTGCACTGCCTCACGGGCCAAAACTAAAACCTTTGATGTTGTCGCGGGCCATATAATAATTTTGTTACAAGTAATAACAAAATAAAGTGAGGTATAAAAATAATTAAAACAAAAAAGAGGATTATTTCTTTTATTGCTCAACAACTACATTTTTTTATAAACGGAAAATTTATTGATAACACTTTTCAATAATCAAGACAAACATTGCAAAAGCAACAAAAAAGATGTAACGAATTAGTGTGAGGACTGTGGTCGATTGGCTTCATCCACCGATGAAGAAACGTCCACCTCCAGTTCAGTTGTAGACACTCTCATAAGGTGACGTAAGGAAGAATCGGTAAGGTTGCTTCTGTTTTTATTTTTTATGTATTCCATGAAGGAAAAGGCACTTTCACATGTATATGTGATTTCGAACATTGACGTAATTTTCAGTCCAAAATTTCGCAGGTTTGCGAATTTCTCCTTTGACAGTAATTTGAAAAATTCAGGTCCCTTTTCTTGTCTGGTGATTAGGAACATGTCTGCTTGAAGATCACACAATTAAATCTGAAAATTGGGTGGTTGATCATCAACGGTTGCTCCAAGAGGGTTATTATAAAGTAGTACACTGCTGTTGAGACTTTCAATTTCTTCAAATCTTGTATTGAATTCATCAATAACTTGTTCAATTTGTAAAATCCAGGATGAAAACTCAATATTTTCCTCACCGTTGAATTCTTATGCAATTTGCAGACAGCTAGGGAGTGTGTCAGGTTGTTATTTTTTAAAGCACGTTTAAACACGTTCAGCTTATGCCGGAATCCATTTATCATTCTGAAACCATCTGGTTTCTTCCCTGAAGACTCAAGTTTAACATGTTAAGATGATTAGTCAGATCTGTTATAAAAGCTAACTGTCTTAAGAATTCTGGATCCTTAAACTTCTCTTCCAGTTTAGTTGTGTCAGATGAAACGTATTTGTTGAGGAATGCAGGGATTTCCTTACTTATGGCAAAAAACCGTTCCATGCACTTTCCTGCACTCAGCCAACTTACATGGTTGTACATTAGCAAGTCTCCATACTCAGCCTCTGTTTTCACCAAAAACTGCTTAAGTTGCCTGTGTAAAAGAGATCTTTTTCCACCTCTAATCATATTTATAATCTTAATCACGGTTTGGAAAACTTTATCTTCCTTGACTGATTTTAAACATAAAGCTCCCTGATGAATAATACAATGAATTGTTGGGCACCATTCTGACACCATTCTCTCGAAGCAGACCCACGAATGCAATTTTTTTACCTGTCATTGATGGGGTCCCGTCTGTTGCTATGGCTGAACATTTATCAAAGCCTCCAATTCTGTCAACTGTTTTCTTCACAGCCTCATAGATGTCTTTTCTTTTTGTTATTCCATAAAGAGAACAAATATCAAATAACTCCTCTTTACTGGTAAAATCATCAAAAGTAGTGCGCACAAATATTAACAGCTGACTAACATCGGTTTGATCAGTGCTTTCATCCAAACAGAGTGAGAAATATGAACTTTTCTTAACCAGGCTAAGCATATATTTTTCTACTTGCCCACCCATAGCAACAATCCTTCTTTGTATGGTTTGATGTGAAAGTGGCACTGATTCAAATTTCTCCTAAATTTTAGAATCACCGGAAGCTTTGGCCATTTAAACAGCACATTTTTTTATCAAATTGCCATCAGTGAAAGGTTTTTTTGCCTTTTCCAGCTCAAGCGACACGGCATAAGATGTATGCAAAGAATGCGTTTGAGAGTGTAATATTTTACTGAAACTACCAGTTTGCTGTTTAAGCTTTTTCTTCAAATCTGCAACTAGGGCACGCCGACTTTCATTTGTGTACGTAGCATACTTATTTTCATGCACTGTTGTGTAATGTCTTCCCACATTATATTCTTTAGGCACTGAAACGACATTCATGCACACTAAGCACTGCAACTTTTCATTATTGTTAGCAATCAAGTAATCACTCTCCCAACTTTCTTTGTAAATTCTGTTCTCACTATCAATTTTCTGTTTTACTGGTTTTACACTCATTATTGTATAAGGGGAATCAAGACAAAGAATTAATCAAGTTCACTGTTCACTAGCAACTTAATAGATTAGCCGACTAGCCTAGGTGTCAGTAGCACACTGGCACGATGGCGGTTGGCGACGGATGGTAAGCAGTGGGAGGTGTGGCCTGCGTGAACTGTGATACGCAGTAATCAGTGCAGTTCTCATAGTGGTGGAGGACAATTGTGTTCGTTACACATCCACGAAGCGGCACAGTACTTGTGATGTAAAAACACTGCTAAACCATAAAATATAAAATAAATTAAAAAATCTTTTTTCACAGTGGCAGCATTTAAAGAAAATATATGCTTTTCGAAAATCTTACGTGGGTGACAACAAATAGCCTCGCGGGCCGGATGCGGCCCGCCAGTTGGACAACCCTGCTCTGGATAGATAGTTTGGTGTAAATTCAAACATATCAGTGATATTAAGAGCCAAGAAATTGCCCTTTTACCTTAGGTCCTTTTTATATTTTATTTCATCTCAGTTTGACTGCCATGTGCACCAATATGGTGTACACTATCATATCCACAAGCTTGTTTGGGAAAATCAATAGATCATGGAAGCCTCACCGTATTGTTTGTTAAATCGGCTTTTTATTTAAATATTTGATTATTGATATATTATTTTAAGTCTTCTATAGTATTTTTTTGCAATATACAACAAATAATATAGTATATGCACCAATGTGGTACTCATGCTGTGGTCAACAACATGGAGAAGAATATTAATATGATAAAAACAACTATGATATTTGCCTATACTAAAGGTAGAAGAAGAAGATGATAAAATATTTACTTACATGTTGATAAATAAAACAGCTAAAATTAAAACTTTAAAGTTAAGTATCATGATTGCTACATAAAATGTACGAAAACCTTTATAGATTATTATTTACAACTACAACGATTTTTATAAGAATAGCGGTCAAAAGGTTTAGAGATACAGATTTTATTAAGTACAATCAAAACATGATAAAACACTAATCAGTAATATTTATTGCTGGATAATCTGACAGTTTTACGTTTAGATTAAGTGAGCACATACTCATGACCAAAATGTGATAAAATATTTTAATAAACATTTAAATCAATACATTAAAGTATAAAATGTCCGAAAATATTTTTATGCGATAATAATGAAAATATCTTTTCCAATGAAACAAAAATTATACTGAAATGATGACATCTCCTAAGGTAAAATTTATACGTCCATGGGTAAAATGATCTGGAAGCAAAATGCGCCTTCGGTCGGATTTCCAGATAAGGACTATTTCAAGGTTATAAGTTTACATTTAGATGGGATAGGATCTTGGAACTTAGGAAGTCTTACTTTTAAGAGTATAGAGTTGGTAAATTCATTCAAAAAAAATAAATTCAAATTGCTTGCATTTAAAAGACATGGTGTCGCAAGGGGCGAAGGGTGAAGAATACATGTTCTGATATGTACGAAAAATAAGTCTACGAATTGAGTTAGAAGTGTTAAATGTTATGTGTGTGCTCTTCAAATCGGTCTAAGTGAGAATGAAAGAAGAGCTCTTTATGATCTTCTTCTTTAGGTACCATCTCCTCTAAGGAGGTTGGTAATCATCACAGATATTTTCACTTTCGAGATTGCAACTCTGAACAAGTCGACGGAACTGCAATTATACCCCAGTTTCTCAGATTGTTGAGCCAGGAGATGCGTCTTCTTCTAATACTTCGTTTTCCCTGTATTTTTCTCTGCAACTTTCTTATCTTAATCGTATTCATGATTTCCATTTCCTTTGTCATCTTTCTGAGGACCTCAACATGTGTTATTCGGTCTACCCAACTTATTTTTAATACTCTTAAGTAAGTCCACATCTCGAATGCTTTAAGTTGATCGCTCACCTCTTTCTTTAAGGTCCAGGCCTCCACCATATACAGCAGCACCGAAAATACATTATTTGCCTACTGTGACTTTTGCTGTTTGATTGAACAATAAGGGGGAAAGTACGCAATATTGCCTTACGCCTCTTTTTATCTCTACTTCCTCCGAAAGTTCTTTGCCTGCTCTGACTTTTGCTGTTTGGTTAAAGTAGAAATGGGTTATTATTTTAAAGTATTTTTTGTCAATGTGTTTATCTTTGAGTAACTGTATAAGACGGTTATGTCGGACCTTATCGAACGCCTTATTGTAATCAATAAAACAAACATAGAGTGGTTGGTTTACATCCATACATCTTTGCATGAGGACGTTAAACCCAAATAATGCCTCTCGTGTACCCATGGCATTCCTACATCCGAATTGGGTTTCAGTGATGTCTTGTTCCACTTTTCTGAAAATTCTTAACTGGATAATTTTTAAGAATATTTTTAGTGTGTGATTCATTAGACTAATTATACGGTGGTGATTACATTCTCCTGTATTAGGTTTTTTGATAATGTAATAAATGTTGATTTGAGCCAATCTTTCGAAATAATACCCGTATTATATATAGTATTATATAAGTCTACTAATACATTGATCTGATCTTCTGATACTCATATAATTATTTCAGTTGGAATTGTGTCAAGTCCCGCAGTTTTATTAGATTTTGCCAGATTTATTGCATGTATTATTTCATCCCTAGTTATATTTGGACCTATATCATGTTCCTCGCAATCGTTTATGGTATCTTGTTGTGTCCTGTCGTTCTCAAACAATTCTTGGACGTATTCTCTCCATCTGTTTAGTTTGCCTTTGATATCAGATATTATTTTACCATTCCTATCAACCAGAGTGGTACTATTGTTGGACCGTCTTATACCTGCTAATTCTTTAATTTTTTTGTGCAATTCAAAACTATCATGATTTTTGAGTTCTTCTATCTCTAAACATTTGTCGTTGTACCACTTCTCTTTAGCTGCCTGTATATTTATCCTAATCTCCTTGTGTGTGGCTTTGTATTCGTTTACATTTTTGTTTTTGTATGATCTTCTTTTGTCCATTAGTTGCCGGATCTCATCTGTCATCCATGGAGTCTCAGCTTCATCGATTTTGTGACTACTCAGCGTATCTTTAATTGGCATCATTAATGTGTTTTTAAATGTTTCTCCTTTTTCGTTGGAATCTTCATTATCATTGATTATTATTTTGCTTAACTCCTCGTTAATCCTCGCTGTTTTAGCAGAGTGCTTACTTGTTGTGTCTTTTGTTGATTTTTTACGATTACTGGATTGTAGTCTGATGACACATCTGTTCCTGGATATTTCTTTGCCAATTTAATGGAGTTACGGTATCTCTTATTAAGGATATAATCTATCTGGTTTCTAAAAATTTTTTCTTTGCTATCCATAGTTGATTTCCATATATATAATCTACGTGGTGGTAACTGAAAGAATGTATTTGTCGCTATCATTTCAAACTCCTGACAGAATTCCGTCATTCTTTCCCCTCTTTAGTTCTTTATTCCTAGTCCGAATTCACCAATAATGTCTTGGAATTTACTTTTTCCTAATTTGGCATTAAAATCCCCCATTATTATTGTTATATCTCTATTATTGGTGCTGTCTAGTGCATTTTTAATGAAATTATAGAACTCTTTTATTTCATTTTCATCTTTATCTGCAGTGGGGGCGTACACATGTATGATATTAAGAGTTTTATGCGCTGTTTGGGCTGTGATCATTAACACTATATCCGATATAGGAACAAAACAAGTTACAGCCTGGCAAAAACTGAGATCAACCAGTATCGCGACGCCATTATAGTGGTGAATATCTTCATATCCTGAGTAATATATTTTGGTACCGTCGACTTCGATTTCGCCAGATCTAGCCATCTGGCCTCGCTTAGTCCCATTATATTGACTTTAAGTCGCCTCATCTTATGTATTACATTGTAAATCTTTCCTGCTTCATATACAGACTTCCCATTCCAGGTACCTATCTTCAGTTCGTTTATATTTTTGTGCCTGACGCAGGGTTTTCGCATGTTGGCGACCTGGGAGCCCGGCAACTGAGAATTGTCTCCCTGCCGGATCTTGGTATCCGATGTCCATGATCAGTAGTTATGAAATTGTCATTTATAATAACCATATCTATTTAAAGATCTTTAATGTAGTGGTTTCTCATTGCCTTCTACATCCTTTTACCATTGACCACTTATTTGGTTCATCCGCCTTTGGAGTCGAATTCTCATCTCCAGGAAAATGACCTATCACTTACCAACTCATCCGCCCGTAGCCGTTGATCAGTAAGTGAGAGATTGTTTATACCGGCAATCACTCAGTCCCTATCTGCATTGGCCATCTATAGATAGATGTTGCCCATCTTCTACCACGTGGAGGTTGCAGATTTGGATTTTTCTTTCATTGGGATTAAGACCTTTTGGCAGTTTCTAATCCCTCCAGAGCTTTAGAAGATTCTTTGTCACTTAAGATATATACTTACTATGTCCTAAGCCTTTCTACCTTAGGTATAAAACGGTTTGGATTGGGATCTGCATATTTGTCTCCACGTTTTCCTGTCATGTGTTCGTACTTTTTCGCACACTAAAACCCTCTTCACAAGTTCCTTCCTGATACCCTCTATCGATCTAGATCTTGGTCTTCTTCTTTTGTATTTTCCTTATAGTCATGTTTCGAACACTTATTTTGTAAGTCTTTCGTCCGACATTCGACACACGTCCTATTCTTTGTTTCAAGTTAAGAAAATAACATTACGCTTATGGAGATCAGTGTTGCCAAAACTCTCAAACACTCTCTTTTGCACGGATGTCCAAGATATTCCCTTTGCTTAATTTTTAAATTTTCATTTTCAATTAACATTTAACTGTAATAGTCAGAATAACTACTTAATAAAAGCTTTATTATCATTATGTAGTCAGAGACGACATAAAATAGCTGACATACGCACATCGTATTATTTTAAGTTGCAATTAGTAATTAGATATACACATTCCAAGCGGTCAATATTGTCTACTGATTTATATGATTCATGGCATATCGTATTCTCACCGAAAAACAAATAAACTGTCGTTGCTATAATTAAAATAAGATAAAATAAAATTATCTTTTGTAAATACTATTTATCTAATTAAAATCATTTTCCGTACTTTTCATCTCTTGTTTCGAATGGGCACTTTTGGTCAATTACGTTAAAAAACATTAATTTAATACATGTTTGTGGAAACGAAAATACAAATTATACAACCCTAAATTGTGCTTGTGTGTGTCGTGGCAACGCCGCGTTGCTATCGTCCATAAGAAATACATGGGCCTATCTTCGCAATGTTATTTTCTAAACGTGGAACGTAGTATAGTACCATCTGAGTTGTCCTCCTGCGATTTTATCGTTTATGGGTTCTACTTGTAGGTTTTGTCTAATTGTTTCGTTTCTAATTTTGTTTATTATTTTTTTAATTCCTATTTTTTTAGTAACTTTATTTCCGTGGCATTGATTCTTGATCTTTATCTCTCTGTTAGTGTCCAAGTTTCGCTACTATACATAATTATAGGACTTACCACTGTTTTAAAGATTACTTTTTATCTCCGTGGTATCTCTCTTTTCCCAAGAAATATTGTTTTCGTTGTATTAAATATGTTTTCGATTCTTCCCAATATTTTTTTTTTGTTTTCTGGTAATGTTTTCCCTTTTCTGATATGATTTTTTATGGGTATTTAAAGTGATATACTTTTTCCAGCTGCATCCCATTCAATCTTACGTCATGTAAGTCATGTAAAAACTGCAAAGATACTTCGAAGTGTATTGAAATATTAGTGGGATATACTACTTTTTTACACACTGTATATAAAACCTAATTAACGAACAGTCTTCTTTATGAACGATTTTTATTTTTAATCTTTTTATTATCATTTTACGTACATTAAGATATTAAACGCATATATTTATGTTTTCTGATTTCATGTACTTTTTTCTTATTAAAAAACATAATAATACACTTAAGACTCAATTGCATATTGAACATG